TTTGTTTCAGAGGAGCCACTTTTGTCTTTTGAAAGGAGAGAGGCGATTGCTATATATATAATAATAAAATAAATTATTTTATTATCCATTCTTTTTGAACGTGGGTTTGGAAATGTTTTTTTTTAATATATAAAGTGAAAAAAAATTTACTTCCTTCGTTTTAAATATTAATTTCTTTTGAAAATTTAATTTTTTTAATATAATTATTACACTTTAAAAATATTAATTTTTTAAAACTATTTTTGACTTTTTTTAAAAAATTAATTTTCATCATTATATTTTTACGAAAATGCGTTGTAGCTCGAAATAGTCAAGGCTCCAATGACCTGACCCTCCTCTCTCTCACTCTCTCTCTCTCTTTCTTTCTCTTTCTTCTCTATCTCTCTTCTCCATCTTCAGAAAGAAGAAGAAGACCAAGGCAGAAGAGGAGCTATTTCGATTATAAGATTTCGATTACGATTTTGATTTTAATTTTGATTCTGATTTTTGGTTTGGTTTTGGATTTGATTTAATTTCACATTCTGTTTGGTAAACTGAAATTGATTTTGATTTTGAAGAGGAAGAAGAGAAAGAAATAACAGAGGAAGAATGGGAGGAGAAGGAAGAAGAGAAGCGGAAGGAAAAAAAAAAGAAAATCTTGAGAGAGTGATTTGTTCCCCTCTATTTGATTCGTTCAAATCCTGCTATCTTCTTCTCTCTTCCTCCTCCTCTGTTTTTTTTCTTCTCTCTTCCTCTCTTTTCTCTCTTTCTCTCGCCTCTATTACTAGTTCCAGAGACAAAAGAGAGGAGGAATGAAAGAAAAAAAAATATGCAAAATTAAGATTATTCTTGAGTTACAAAGATTGGCCAAGAAAGATGATGGTGAAGAACAAGTAAAGCATGAGAGGTTTGAGAGAGAGAGGAGAGAGAATCCATTGTCAACTGGTTTTATGAGACCAACATATATATATAGAGAGAGAGAGAGAGAGAGAGTAGAAAGAAGAAGAGATGGGGGGAAAAAATGTCATTTTGGCACCTCGAGCCACTCGAGCCTTAACTATTTCGAGCTACGTAGCGGGACTGATATTTTTATGTATATTAATGTTAATAAATTTAAAAGAAGAATAGAATAGGAAATTCGTATTATTTTAGGGTTCGTTTCGGAATAAATTTTTAGTCTGACTTTTTTACTAATTTAGCCCCGCTATATTAGTTTTGTTTTAGGAATAATTTTTTGACTTTTTTTTTGTAAGAGAAAAAATAAAATGATTATAGTTTGGATGTGATATTTTGTCTTATTAACTTATTTAGCATATTTTATCTTTATATGTATATATATATATATATATATATTATTTTATTTTTTTGGGTCCCAACCTTTCCAAACCAACTTGACAAACCGCAGCTTGGCAACTCATGAGCAGATTATTTATTAATTTTATATAAATAACGTGGCAATGTTATGTTTAATGTTAGGAAATAACAATAAATAAGTTTACTCTTATTAAAATAAAATGACATTAAAGAATCACACCTTAAAAAAATATTGTTTAAAAAATAAATAAATACATATCTAAACTATTCAACTTGGGTGATTCTATCTAGTGAAGTTTGTTTTCTTCCCTTGTCTTAGATTCCCAAAAAGAAAAATTATCGGCTAGTTTTGGAATATCACGTGATCATGTCTTAGACTAATTACAAATCCTCATGTCCTCTCATATTTCCTAATTATTCAATATAAAATTGTGAATTTCACTCTTTTTATCAATCACAATGCATGTCAAGTACCACGTGGTGCTACTCCTAGACCAACCAATAACTTCTCCCCAAAAAAATGATGGTCAATCCAACATTTGACCCTATTTTTAAATATTATGTTTTGTTTTTTATTTCTTTTTATTTTTTTTAGACAACTTTGTTGGTGGGCACAGATTAAGACCGTAAATTAATTGAGTTGTGTATAAGTTCAATCCTTTTTTTTTTTTTTGAACAGAAGTTCAACTCATTTTGACACAGTAAAATCTTGACTTATCCCAATTCCTTATATGTATGTATATATAAACAAGTTCAAGTTGAATTTTAAATGCAAGTCATAAAAATAGGATAAATATATTATTTATATATTAAATAATACAAAATATAGTAGATATATATATTTAATGTTGTGTATATTTAATGTATAATAATGTTTAATGAGCCAACTAAGCTTGATTATTGAGCCAATTTTATTTTTTTTATTATCAAATTTCAAACCCAATTCAAACATGATTAGTACTATAAATGATTTAAGTCCAACTCGAACTTGATTTTCAAGTCTGATAAATTAACCAGCTAAACTCAATGGAGACCAATGTGATGTCGTTTCGTATTTGCTTAATGTTTAAAAATTAATAATTATAAGTACTGTAAACAAATTAACCTCACCAAACTATTTAGAGCTCTTTTGAGGACACAAGAAATAAGTTATGTATTGGTTTATTTTTATCACGTCACTTCTTTATGATTTTACGTGTCTTTTTGTAGTAAGTAAAAAATCATCTTACCTTGTTTGTCATAACTTAAAAAAGTCAAAAAGTCACTATCTTATTTAAGTCATATAATCTTATTTAAATGATATCACCTTTCTACTACGTCACTTCAAACCTAACTCATATCCAATCTATATTTCATAAAAAGTCAAAAAATATATTTATTTAGATTATCGCAAAGCATTATATTATTGAAGGTCTGGGTAGGATAAAATTCCAGAATTTTATTTAGCCTTTTAGGGCTGTTCTGGATTTTTCAACAATTTTTTTTTTTTTTTTTGGGTTAAATTTTGCTTTGACTGATTGTTTTATTTTATGCCTCTACTTGTGTACTCAAATCCAGGTGCCTCTATGTTTAATCTTTCTTCTTGATTGTCAAAAGGTATGAAAAGAGAAGTGAAAACCCGTATATGTTGTTCCACGAAGATAACGTAATATCTATTTCACTCCCTTCCAATGTCTTGATATGTTGGTGTAGACCTATATTTTTCTAGTAAATTAACAGCAAATGCAATGTTGGGCCTCGTATAATTTGCAAGATATATAAGAGCACTAATTATACTAAGATATGGTATTTCAGGATCAAGGAGTTCTTCATTATCTTCTTTACGGTTAAAAATGATCTTTTTTTTATATCAACGAATGCTATAACTGAGGCATATAATGCATACCTCACAAAAAGAGGTGTGTATTGTAGAATTATCCTCCTAATTATATATCTGATATGCATATGAAACAATTTTTAAAAATTCAATTCCTATGATTAGATAAAAATACATGAAAAAGAGTTTGTATAGTAAAAATTTTACACCTGATTTACTGCAAAATGAAATTTGAAAAAACTGTTTTGTAGAAATGAAACAGAAGAGATATAGACACAAACTCTCCCTTCATCTGTTGCATGGATTATGAAGACTATATCACTTCTTATAGTGTCCAAAGATTGCTAGAAGAAAATCGCGTTGATAATGGCAAGAGACGAGGACTATACATCAACATAAATGATGGTAATGGACACAGATCACATTGGAGGTCCCCATCTTCTTTACACTCAATTTCTCTCACTTAATTTATACAAATTGGTGAAGACGTATATATTGAGATAATTCAAGCGTCGATCTTATGTCCTTGTTGCAAGAGAAATCTATATTTTGAAAGACTTCATATATTAAAAATTTATTATTGAATTGTCATTCTACCACTAAAAAACTATATTAAGAGGCTTTTGGCCAAATTTCGATTGACGTTATGAAGCACACTTTATTTATTTTCTAAATACATTCAATTTTACATATTGAACTAAGTAATCAAACAAATCCAAGTCTCACTATTTTCTCATTTATTATTTTTTCTTCTTCTTTACCCAATGGTACTCAGGCCCGCCATTATCAGTCAAATTGATCACTCGATATTTAGATCTATTTTAGTTAAATATGAAGATGCATTTCTAACATTAATCTATTGTTTTCAATTACTTTCATTTCAAATTCTATGGACACTAAATAAACGACACAATCAACCGCAAAAAATAAGTAAAATAATCTGCGTGTATTTGTTTATTGCAAGAAAGGTCTAACCATTTGATACGTGGAGCAATCAGAGTATAATTGTCTAATGCACCATTTGATATGAATGATCAAAATTATTTTATGTGATTTGTTCAGTTTTAGTTTTGTTCGAAGACCTAATCTGTCTAGGCCCTAATAAGGCCAATGTGTGAAGAACTTACTAGACTAATACACAAAAAAGAACTTGAGATACGATATAGAGCGTGATTAATTTTTATATTTTGTCCGATACTATAAGTTGGACCCATTAGAATTGTGACATAGCACCATACTTCTGCGTCCGATGCCTACAGTGACCCACTGTTCCGTTTCTACACTGACTTGATGGTAACCCCTACTTCTCTGATAACTCCACTCTGCGTTAGATTCCTCTATTTTGCCTCAAACCGGAATAGTTCAATCCATGTCCTAGACCATAGGTACCAAGATCATAATACATTGCCAAGGATAGGGAATATCTTATTTCTTTGGACTGTATTTAGATCATAGGTTTATGTTGTGTTTGGTTGGGGGATTTGGGGAGGGATTTGGAAAGGAAAATGAAAAAGATAGGTGAAATGTGAATAAATCATGCCTATATTTCACATAGTTTCACATACCTTTTCCCTTTCCTTTTCCAAATCCTTCCCCAAATCCCCCAACTAAACAAAGCATTAGGTATTCAGAAAGGAAAATGAAAACGCGAGAGAAATGAAAAAAGTATTTAGCTTGTATCTCATTCATATTTCCTTCACCTTTCTTCTTTTCCTTTTCAAATTTCTATCCAAATTCAGAATCCAAACACAACCTTAGAGAGTTTGCATACCCTGAGCTGTTGCATTCCAAGTTGTTACAAATTCAGGGGGCAGAAGGAAGCCCAACTGCTGCATTTCATAGGCTAAAACTACCATAAAGTTTGGCAGGAATGTAATAAACATGTACACAATGAAAAAGAAAAAAGAAAAGAATATATAAGCCATAATGTGTGTTCCATCCCATCCCTGGTTAAATTTCCAAAGGCCACAAACAGACAATACAACTGATTTTTGGAAGGCTTCCAGCAGCCTATACTCACCATCCAAGGACAAAATCAAGGGTAAAAAAAAAATGAAGTTCCTTTTAATGGAGGGCTAGAACCAATGGGACTCCAAAACTTTAAGCCTGTAAAATATGATATATGCTAGTAGTCAACTGATGCAGTGTTCTTCTCACCTCATTGGCGAAAATCCAATATAGCTCTTCAAATATTGACAATCCTTTTTTCAACAAGTATGTCCACGATCATAATAAACCAGCTTCAAAGAGGTTTCTCCTTCTCAAAGTCTCGTCCACCAGTTTGAACGTCTTCTTCACAAGCTTCTGATCAAGGGCATTGGTTCTGTAGATCTTAAAAACCCGGTCCACACGATCAGGGGCAGTACTCTGGAAATACAACTCCTCAAATTTCTTCTTCACAAATCTGAATACAAGGTTCCACAACATAGAAAGGAGAGTCCATGGCCCAATATAAATTATACATATAATGAATGAAAAGACTAATAATTCCATGTTCCAGATGTTAACAAATTCCTAGTTTAGAACCAAAACTTACCAAGGCAGGTTGAAGGCAAGTTTTGGCGAACAGAAATTGATTTTTGCTTCCAACCTTTACCCCCTAGTTCTTATGTCCAGCTTCATAACCCAACAAGTTTCGATTATATTGATCAGTTTCAATGAAAAAAATATATATCTATGGGGTTTTTAAAAATTTTGAACAAAAATGCAACTCCCAAACCCAAAAGTTGATAAATTCTTTTTTAGCAAGTTAGGGAGTTCAATATATAATTCTTTTTGGATTTATCCAAAAAAAAAAAACATATATACATATATATATAATTCTTTTTGGCTATTATCAGATACCCTTCTACCTATTTTCTTCTCTCCTGGGGAGGAGGGGGAGGGGGACTCATGCCCACTATTTCAGTCGCCAAAACTGCCCCAGATATCAGCCTTTTGGTAATCTTTCTGTTCTCAAAATGGATGACGAGGGAAAATATCAATTGCTTACTCATATGCATGCTCTATCTCTTCTTTCCCTGTCGAAACTGGCTGGTAATCTTTGAACCACTCGCATACATTCAGCGGCACCTGCACAAATAGCACATCAAAATCCTGGACATACTATAATTAGCCACCTATGAACAAATATTTCAGTCTTATTTGCTCTTACTTTTAAAACCTTCTTCTCAAATATATCGAATTTGTTTAGGAACAGCATGAAGGATGTTTTCTGCACAAAACAAATGAGCATTAGTAAAAGCAGTTTAAGCTGTCAAAAAACAATTCTCAGCAAAGTTACAATATTAATGTAAAAAAGAGCATGAGCTGTTAAAAAAACTTCACAATTGATAAAGCAAAGGGTTGTAGCATATCTTTAATTAGAAAGAAAAAAGCACCTCAAAACATGGTTGCTTAAGGACCCAATCAAAGAGTTCCTTGGTTTCCATCATCCGGTTCTTGCTTTCATCCTCAAAGAGTGTTTGATCATACCTGGAAACAATAGCGATTACTATCAAGAACAACGTACCAACGTACCTGGAAACATCACATTTGAAGCTAGAATATCCTAAAGAAGATACCAGCTACAAAACTTTATTTTCCACTCTCTCTCCATTTCCAGTATATTAGATAATTTTATTAATTTTCCTGCTTATGAATGTTTTGATAGCCAGTTTCAAATTCATAAGTAACAACCTACAAAAGATGTTAAAACTGGAAAAGACAAGAAAAGAAAAAACAAAAACTTACTCACTAATAGAAGCACAAAAAATCACAGCTGTGACCCCTTCAAACAGATGTATCCACTTCCTTCTCTCGTTTCTCTGACCTCCAACATCAAAGAGTCGATACACCTCACCGCTTTTTTTGTTCTCTCCAACTGGGCTGCAATTTATAACTAGTAAGTTGTAGGTCAAATTATCAGGAGAGCATGAACTGAATGTCTTTGCTATTTAGATGTATGTGGTGCTACTACTAACATAAAACACTACATGCTAGACTATGAAGCACGGACATTTCTAAAAGGGGGACATATCCGTATCATATCTGTATCAGATACCAATAGTCCTTGATACTTTTCATTAGTATCGGATACTTCTTAATTAACTTTGAAGTATCAAATACTCTAAGTCATGTATTATTTCTTTTACAAAATTAGAATTGTGGCATTGCTTGCATAACATTATAATGTAACTAATCGCAAGGATAAATACAATAATAATTTTTAATACTTCACTTTGCTCTTTGATAAGGACATGGTGAATTAAAAGTTAAAAGTAAAAGAATTTGTCAATTTGATGTATCGTTATTATATCATGCATGTCTCCTATAACTACATAGAAAGTAAGGATTAACAAGAAAATATAACAATAAATTTTTTTTTAAAAATCAATAAAAAAGCAAGTAAACCTGCATACAATTTTTTGACTAGTAAGGGAAAAGCACATGAACAAGTTGTGGATATTAGACTTGATATTAAAATGAAATATTTGTAAAACCTATAAAATAATTAAAAAAAAGTAAACTAGGTACAAGCTTACATTAATACCTGATTCTTCAATATTAGTATTTTGCATTATAAAATTACATTATGGTTCTTCAACATTCTTGAGTTTATGTGCAACTCGCTAATTTTTTAATTTTTTTTCCACAAATGTATCCTAGTTGTATCCATATCCTGTTTTTATAGGTTTTATCCATATTATATCATATCCCAAGCCTTGCTTCCTAGATGCTACAAGAAATATTTTGAACAGCTTCACAAGGACATCTTCATTAATTTGATTTTTCTAATTGACATTAAAATCAGGGCATTGAGATAGATGAGTGGAAAGACGTGTGAAAGAAGAAATGGCTGCACTCATGACAGGCCAGAGGCAAGCACCAACTGAAATGAAGTACGAAAACGGGGTGCTCACTTGTACTTAAGGTGAATCATTACACCCAAGGTTCTGAAAAGCGGTTGCGGTCGCCGTAGCGGTTGCGGTGACGCGGTTGCGGTTGCGGGGTGTAAAGGCCGTAGTGTAACGGTTGCGGTAACCGGAACCGTGAATTTTTTTATTTTTCGCACAATTTGAAAAAAACTTACCGATACGCATATTTTTTTTCCATGATCATATTTATTGGGTTAAAAATAAATATTGATCAATTTTTGTAAATTTTTAAGTATGATGCAATATATTTCATATTTTTAAATCACTATAAACTGAGTTTTTTACATTTTATTTTAATAATTAATGACTTTATATTATACAAAAAATCAATCACTAACTATTATACATAAAATAAACAATGACAAAAGTAAGAGAATAAATAAGAGCCTAAATATATATATATATACATATTTTAACCAAGCCAAATAGATAATGACAATAGATAATGACCACACTTATTATTATTATTATTATTATTTTCAAACAATATATAGATAGACACACACAAACAAAATGGTTTAGTGATAGCAGCTGAATAGAATAGCATAGGTCTTACAGTTTCAACAGATTAATAACATGTTCTTCATCTTCCCTCTTCTCTCTCTCTATCTCTTGCTCCTCCATTTTCTCTCTTTATCTTCTCTCTTCTCTCTATCCTCTTCCCTCATTTTTAGCTTTTTTTTTTGTGTGTTTTTTCGGAAGAAACAGTTTGGAATCGTTACGTAACGGTGCTGTAACAGCCGTAACGGCCTGTTACGACCGCTACGGCAGCCGCTGCGGCCGACACACCTGTGAATCTCAATCACACTGCAAAAGCGGCCGTAACGGGTGGCGGTAACCGCCAAAACCGTTACGTAACGGCGTTACGTAACGGTTGCGGCCGCTTTTTAAAACCTTGATTACACCTGAAAGGAGTATGCTTCAAGAGGAATAGATGACTTGAAATAACCGAGACTAAGTGGTTTGGAAATTATTTTAGTGCATTTCATACTTGGTTGCAGAACCTAATAAGGACATGCTTTGCCATCTGGTTCAGTGTGTAAATAGTCTAATTGCAAGGAGACAAGATTCTCGTATCCTGTATAAGAAGTTTATAAACTTCTAGAGCACAAACAATTACTTTGTTTAGTTTGAATTTTTTAATTTTTTATTTTTCATGTTTTGTTGTCTCTAGTGAAACTCTTTCATAATTTAGTCAATTTTTATTTTTACTTTTTAGATACACCTAAAAAGTAAAATATTTGTGAAAAATCTACAAAATTCAGTAAATACAAAAAATGCGAAAATGTGCCAAATTTTTATATTTTTTTTTGTATTTGGTAATTTTTTTAGAAGGTTTTTTCACAAATATTTTACTTTTTAAGTAGATCTATATCAAGTGGATCTAAAAGGTATATATATATATATAGGGCAAAATTCACTTTACCCCCTTGTGGTTTTGCCTAGGAGCGCTTTACCCCCTATAGTTCAAAGATAGGCAAAGATCCCCCTTATGGTTTTGAACTAAAGTGCAAAGCTAACTTTGTTAAAAGTAAGGGCAAAATTACCTAAATACCCCTATGGTATATTCTCTTTATCTCTTCGTTAATACATATAATTTCTTATCTTTACAATATATGCAATAAATAAGATTACAGTAACCTAAACACCATAATTTATTACCATAAAATTATCTTAATCTAATTTCTAACCCAATTTTTTATTTAATAACATTTTAAATTAAACATAAAGTTACCATAAATTAAACCATAAGATTAATTTAAACACCTTAATTTATTACTATAAAATTAAATCATAAAATTATCTTAATCTAATTTTTAATTTTTAATCTAATTTCTTATTTAAAAACATTTTTAAATAAACATATATATATATATAACCAACTAAATCAAAAAATAAACTAAACACCCTAATTTATTACCATAAAATTACCTTATTTAATAACATTTTTAATTAAACATATAAATATATATATTTAACAAATTAAATCATAAATTATACTAAACACCCTAATTTATTACTATAAAATCCCCTTATTTAATAACATTTAACAAATTAAATCATAAATTAACCTAAATACCTTAATTTATTACCATAAAAGTAAAATATAAAATTACCTAAATCTAATTTTTAATTTTTAACATTTTAAATTAAACATTTACATATATATAAATATATGTATATATGTCAAATTAAACCCATAAATTAACCTAAATAGTCTAATTTATTACCATAAAATTACCATAATCTACTATTTATTTTTAATCCAATTTCTCATTTAATAAAATTTTAAATTAAATTCAATTATTGATAAAAGATAGTGATTAGGGTTAAGATTTAGAGAATAAGATGAATATGATGGTATTATTGACATTTGATACATGATTTTTGCATTGCTCGCTCTCAATTTGGGAGAGTGTGGCACACCTTCCGTTATCTTTAACGGAATCCAAAACCATAAGGGAGTTCTCTACCTATATTTGAACCATAAGGGAGTAAAGTGCTCCAAGGCGAACCCATAAGGGAATAAAGTGAATTCTGCCCATATATATATGTATATATATTTCTTAAAATACAAAAAAAGTTCACTAAAGACAAAAAAATCAAAATCTGTTTTTGAATACTGTTAACCAAACATAATGAATGATTCTATTGTTTGGAATGGCAAATTATACTAATAGTCCCTGTATATTGATCCTTGTGTCATTTGGGTCACTGTAATTTCAATACACTCAATTTTGATCCTAAATTTATGACTTTGTATCAATTTAGTCCAATTGAATACAATCGTTAGCATTTTTTAATAAAAAAGCGTACATAAGTGGCATGTGTCACGATTTTAAGGGCAAAATTATAAGTTTTCTCAACTCAGTGAGTTAAACCTCAATCAATTCAGTGGTAATTTTCATCAAAAACACTAACAGTATTATTAATTGAATCAAATTGACACAAAATCTAAAATTAAGGGTCAAAATTGAGCCAATTGAAAGTGTAGGGACAAAAATGACACGAGAAAAAATGTTGGGACTGTCGGTGTAATTTGCCCTATTTGGAATAATAGGGTCATCCAAGCTAGCTCATTTCTGTAGTGACAACTGCATGGACTTGAGCATGTGAAGCAGGTTCAAAACCATATGCCAGGATTTAACTAACCCCCACCTATCTGAAGGAAAGTCTAACAAAGTGGTTTAGTACAAGAGAAACCAATAAATGTATTGTTAATTATGATATTATTTATTCAAAAATAAAAAATAAAGTTAAAAAACAGCTACTGTTTTAATCAAAGTTTTACTGGACAGAAAAGAAGACCGAAAAGAAAAAAAGAGTTGGAATATTGAGACTAAAAAACGACAAGTTAGCACAAAGTCTAATGGAGGATAAGGCCCTAAACAGTGTTGAACCATTGAATGGCAACAGATGATTCATACAGCCCCAACCAAAATTAAGTAAATAAAAGGCTTTGTCAAATTTAGTTATGTACAATCCAGTGAAATTGAATTGGAGAGATCAAACCCTAGAGATTAATAAGATCAAGTAATTCTTCTCCAAATTGATGAAAATTATGCTAGAACTGATCAGAATAACATGATAACCACTACAGCAACTACCTCATCCAAGTTTCCCTTCTGGTAAGTATTTATCAACTCAGAATAATTCATTCAATTAAAAGATAAAGAACTGATCAGAATAACATGATAGCACCAAAACTGTAGTTAAACTGCAAACTTTGTTGGAAACAGTACTCACCTGAACTGGATTTCTACAACACCAGTTGTACGAACTCTGGCATTGAGAACATCATCCTGCATAACAAAAGACACTAAGAGGCTTGTGGAAAGAGTTATATTTCCACAAAGATAAAATAATTTTGGGGAACTATTGTAGATCTATGCTACATTAATCTATGAAATTATTGACCTTTACAAAGACCCATATTGTGTCAATCTGAGCATGGTTAATAGAATCACGATCCAGGTCATAGGATACTAGGATCATACAATTCTACTTTCATCAAACAATCCAGATTGTTTAAGGATTGGCTCTACAGCGGAACTGGTGTGGTATCATGTGCTGGATAACAGGATCGCATAAGATTGCTATCCCGCACAGTACCTTGACCGATTCTGCTTGTATGGTTTGTGTGTTAAATTTGAACACAAAAATGAGAATATGGAGAGTCAAGCCAGCAACAGGAAGCCAAGGACAAGCCTTAAACCATTGGGCTATGAACTTCTTATGTTCTATGAAGTGTTTTTTTATTATAATTAAAGAATTCTAATGTTCTTTGTATAAAAGTTTCTCATTATTTATTTGCACAAATAAAACATTAAGAGAAGCTTAATCTTTCTTTCTTTCTTTCTTAGTTTTCTTTTTTTTTCTTTTTCTTTATTTTTTTTTTTTGGGTAGGTGATTCGGACTTTGGAAGCTTTGAATTTGTTAAGGAAGTTCATGACACTAGTATTGTAATACTAATGAGAATGAAAATGCATTGGGCTCTGTTCAGTTGTCAGGAATTTTGTGAGAAAGTTGTTCCTAGGAAAAGTGGAGTAAAAGAAAAGGAAACTTGTTTTCTCGTGTGTTCATTTGTCAAGAAAATGAAAGCATATTGTTGAGATTCCTGCAAAATCTTGTATTTTTTGCAAGACATGTTTTGAGGAAAAACATATTCTAGTGGGAAAGTTGAAAATATGAGTCCGACAACTTTCTTGCTAAATGAAGATGAAAAAAGTTATCGGAAGTTCATTTTCCTGTACAATACTTTCTTTTCCAAACAACAGAACAGAGCCTGGAGGGATTTTTGTGTGAGAAAGTTGTTCCTAGGAAAAGTGGAGTAAAAGAAAAGGAAACTTGTTTTCTCGTGTGTTCATTTGTCAAGAAAATGAAAGCGTATTGTTGAGATTCCTGCAAAATCTTGTATTTTTTGCAAGACATGTTTTGAGGAAAAACATATTCTAGTGGGAAAGTTGAAAATATGAGTCCGACAACTTTCTTGCTAAATGAAGATGAAAAAAGTTATCGGAAGTTCATTTTCCTGTACAATACTTTCTTTTCCAAACAACAGAACAGAGCCTGGAGGGATTTTAATGATTTTCCCATGGATGATCTAGGTAGTAGGAGGACATGATGATGAACACCACTTTGAAGAACACATTGAACTCAATAATAAAGAACTTGGCTTAGATGATTGAATGTACTTCATTATGTAATATGTAGTATGACATGGGTTGTAACACCCTAGGTGTTATTGCATGAGCTGCTTTGTTCCATGTTTTAGTTCTTTGAGTTGCATTAGCTTCTTTAATACTTGAAATGCTTCAAAATATGTTTTGGTAGGAACGAAATGAAGTTTTTAGGTTATGAAATCAAAAGAATTCTCTTTTTGAACATAGAATGCTTATGTAGACTTTCAAATCCATAATCAAGTTGCTTAAATGAATTGGTTTGACTTACCCAATAACTTTATATACTTTGTGAAAATATAATCGAAATTAGTAATAATTAAGCGGGATTTATTAGGCTTAATCCTGATTAATTAACCCAAGTATAATTAGACCTAACCTAGACTAATTAGTGATAATTGAGATTAATTAAGCTAATCAAGGTAATTAGTGACATGAAGTAGGCACAAACCTCACATTTGTGTATGCCACCTCCTCCTTACAATAGATATATATTAGCATATGTGAGCTATGTTACATGGACTCTTCTATTTCCCTCAATGTACCCGTGTCCACCAGATATGACAAGGGTAAGGATCCGACACCCGTATCCAATTTAGACACCTGAATCGTCCAACTGTTTACAATGTTTGCAGAACAAGAAACACACATTTGCTAGGGGGGGGAAAAAAACATTTATAGCCTTTAACATGAATAAAAGATAAAAATTACATATTTTTCCTAAATCCTATTTAATTTCAAATGCATTTCAACATAATTTACAATATCTTATCCAAAAATATTATATAATGTGTCCATAACGAGTCCCTATTCCCATATCCACTTTTGGATACATACCCCAATATCCCAAGATTTAAGTTTATGAAGGTTTAACATTTGGATACACACCCGTGCCCGATGCGCGTACCTGAGTCCATGTAACATAGTATGTGAGACAAGTATCTCCTCTTAAAAATAAATCAAAGAAAAAATAAGAAAAGAGCAAAGGAAACTTGTTGGAAAAGAGAGGAAGAGAAGAGGGAAAAGAAGAAGAAAATAGGAAAAAGCTCAAATTTTTAACCTCGGATGGTTTCTTTCTTGATTTTCAAGCACTTCAAGTGAGTAATGTCTCTTCAAAGTTAGTCCTGAACTACAATTTTGAATACTTTAAGCTTTATTGTTCTAAATTCACTTTTCAAGAAATTGAAATTTTTTGTTTTCCGTATTTTTTTGTTTTCACTAAATTTTTATAATATTTAAGAAACTTTTTTTAATTTTTAGATACACTAAACATAAATACACTTAAAAAGTATAATATTTGTTAAAAAAAATCTTTAAAAAATTCACTAAATACCAAAAATACAAAATATTTATATATAAATTCAACACATTTTTCGTATTCTTGTGTATTTATTAATTTTTTAAAATATTGTTTTACAAATATTTTACTTTTTAGATACATCTAAGTAAGGTGCATTTAAAAATGTAAAAGAATTGCTTAAAATTTTAAAAAATATTCACTAAAAACAAAAAAATACAAAAAAAAAAAAAAAAACTCAATTTCCATAATTGAAACCAGAAAATTGAAACCAAACACAGTGATTTGAATTGTTTGACAGCAATGGGTATTCTATGCTTATGCTTGGAATAAATATATACATGGCATCATCAGGTGGTCCCAGCTACTAGGGGACAGAAAAGATACTTGTAGCAGCTGCTTGAGATCTCCATTGCCACATACATGAGGGTTTGTCTAACAGGGAGTCGACCCTAGTTATTCCATTTGTTAGAACCGTCGGATGTACATTATCATGATTAATTATGACCATTAAACATTGATGGTGAAGATGCATGGTCAAATAATTAATGGATTTATGTATCAGATGTGCTAACCATTGGATATATAAAGGCAGCATCAAGCTCAGCAGTGTAACCAAGTGAAGAGTTGTGGATTTTTCTTATCAATATTATTTTCTATATTTAATTTAAGAGATTTCAGACAAGTTGTAATAGTATTTTTGTGGTGGGACTTTGGACTCATGCACTAGTACATGATTGGTCTGAGTCAATACGACTATCAATTGGATTGTTATATCTTGGGGGAGGCAAAGAGGCCCTTTTTCAGCCGTGAATGGCTTGAATCTCCTTAAAGAGAGTGAGATTACCACACCTCAATCCGCACTTGTGTGTATCCATTTATTTGGAGATGTGATGTATCCACTGTTATTCTAGTGATAGTGGATCTTGCGTAGACAGAAGATTTAATATAGTGGAAGACGCAGGCACAATTTGTCAAACTTAGTGTCTTCTCATGGTGATTATTTTTGCCCAATATTTATTTTGACTTCATTATTTATTTATATTTTGGTTATTACACCAACAATTTCAAGGAGATTCAAAGACGGAGTCAAAACATGAGAAGCCGAAAAAAAATGGAGGAAAAAATAGAAGTTTCTAGTAGGTGACAGACTATTCACCACACAAGATTAAAAAATAGAGATTTCTACATAGCCCTACCAGTGCAGCAAGAAGATAGATCTTGATCACATCCTCCTATGAGGAAGCTATAAGGCCAATCTTAATCCATACTACAGGGTGGTATCCATCATTGAGATATAAATTCAATTTTTCTACTAATCTCATTTACCCAATATTATAATTATTATTTTATGTGTCTATTGAAGCCATAAAAATTGAGAAATATTTGTGGTAGACCTCATAGTAGGGAAAACCCAAGTTAATTAAAAAAAAAAAAAAAAAAAAAAAAAAAAAAAAAAAAAACATTAAAACCCTTTATAATTATTCTATGGCAAGAGTGGGCATAGTGCTCGATTTTGCATATATCTAAAACATAAGTCTGTCATTAAGGTTAACATACTTAGAAGCCTTTATGGCTATGATTACAAACAATTGGTATAATATGTGGAAGGGTGATGAGTAGATTTTGGTGCTTATAGGCACATTTGCCATAATAAAAACTGGCTCTAAATTTTCATTCGTGTAAGTTGAAAATATTATACTTCGTGACTTGTGGCTGGGAGTAGTGGTGTTAAATTGAGATATATCCTTGGATGTGTACTACTATTCAAAAATCTACCTTGCTCTGTCCTAGATAAATATTTTGAGGTTGAATTTCTATTCAACAAAAAAGAAATTCTGCTTCAAATAGAATTGTGGGTAATAAATATGTAAGAGATGGAATGTGGCCATATCTAATTTTTGAATCAGATGTTGTAAGAAAAAATTCTTTTAAAATTTAAAAATAGTGTCAGAAAAGAAAACAAATACTTTTAAATTTAAAACTACTCCAACAAAACAAAAAATATTTTTGAATTCTAATCCATAATTGTATAGCCTAGTGGGTAATCGGTTTAATTCATTTGGATTCCTTATGACTTTCGAATTTGTGGTTTTCGGAATTTGGAATTGTGGGTTATTCGGTATTTGGTTAAAATATTTGATTATTTGCTTAAATATTGTATGGGATCCAATGACTCGCGGGTTGTTGGAATTAAAATGCTATACGATTTTTGAATTAGTGAGCATTTTCAAGTTTTATGGTGATAGATTTGGTTACACAAACTATTTTATTTGATCTGACATTTGTTATGAAGAAACATACTTTGCAGGTTTACATGAAAAGCCATATTGTAATTAATGCCTACCCATGGAGGCATAGAATTTTTATTTGGCTAGAAAAGGTTAAAAAATTATGGTTTATTTTTAAAAGGTTATCTTGAATACTTAATTTTTTAGTGATGCCAAGTTCAAATATCATGTCAGGTGATTTCTCTACCATTGATTTTAACGTGTGTTGGTGCTTCTTTCTTTTTTCTATTGATGATAGTTTTTGCAACAATTGAGAGGTGAATTGGTTGAGAGATTTTTGGTAAAATCAAATGCAATTTGGAGAAAAAACCAATTTCACACGTGATTATTGTGAAAAGCACCACATAGGGATATCTATTTTCTCCCATCCCTGCATCCCTTGCCCCACGCAGCACAACTTTTGCCCACCTCATTAGGTGGGGACGGATTTTGCTTCCCCTCCATTAATATTTACTAAATATATTTATATGTATATAATATATATCATTTAATTTTTTTTTAATATGATAAAATTAAAACCCAAAATACTATACATAATATATTATATCATCTATAATTTTTGTTAGCATTTTTTTCAATAATCATGGATTTGTTCACAAAGGGCTTCATTGTTCGAGCATACGTGGCAAACTCAAGGTCCCTGATCTTCCCATTCGTTTGCGGGAGGGTATTTAGTGATGCAGTGATCTTTCACTATGTTAGTCAGTGTAACTATTAGTCCAACTATCACGATTAGTTACACTAATCCTATTAGCTAAAGAATTTAGAGAATGAGCTGCTTATATAAAATCATGCCCTGCATTTGTTAATTGTGGTCAATAAACTGATTTACTTTCTATTCAATATTTTCTCTCTCTAGATCTTCATTTCTGTTATGCTTTTAGTTCAATATGCACAACAACTATTTATGAGGATACCCAACCTATGGACCAGAGATCTTGTAACTCGATTCAATGGGAAGAAGAATTATATGGTGGTCGTAAAAATGCACTATATCTATTTATTGTGTCTATCCCCATGATGTGAGTTCATTTATCCTATAATGCTTGGAGAGTTGAGTTTTTAAACTCCTAATGAAAATTGTAGCTTTTTATGAGTGGGGTGTTAGTATCACAAGAGCACCCTTTGCAGATTTCAAGTATGTGAAAGTGAAAGTAGGGCCGATTTCTATGAGAATTGGGCATATTTCTCAAAAACACTTGCACACATGAAAAGCGGGATCAGTACAAGGCCTTAACGTGCTAGTCATTAAAGCTCATGTCAACACCTAAATTATTATGTGTGTAGTGATACTTTATTTTTCCTAATCAGTCATAGTTCAAGTCTGAGACCACTACTGACTTTGGAGTAAAGATCACTATTTCACTAGTAACGGTTTTTTTTTTTTTTTTTGGAACTAACTAGTAAAGGTTCAATGCACACCTTCATGAATCATGATGCATAGGCCCTGTTTGGGAATAGCTTTTTTGTCTAAAATAGCCACACAAAAAAAAAAGCTAAAATAGCCAATAAGATCTTACACATCAATCAATCACTTTTTCTCTCACAACTATCTATTCAACTATAAAAAAATCCACAAGTCATCCCAAACACAACTTTCTTTCATCACATAAAATAGCCAAGTTACCAAACAAGGCCATAATATCCCTCTGTCCCTGTTAATCTCTCTGTGTATTAATATTAAAATGCGCGGGGTAACACTAATTTAATACATTTTAATATTAATATTAAAATATCATATTCAGACTAATTGGATCATGGATAGTGCTAGTTGAGTTATGTATGATGGCATTAGACGGCCAGAATTATTTCTAGCAACAGGAAGAAGCTAATGCAGTAGATTAAAGGCTTTCATTATGACATTTATTTAGGTGGGTAATAAATGGATTATGGTAAATTGAAAAGGTGAGAAACTGCAGAAACTTCAAGGTGAAGGAGATGAACGGAAGGCTCAAGTTCAGTTACTATGGAATGAATGTTGATTAGTTTACGACCATTACACATTGCTGGTGAAGATACTAGGTCAAATAATTAATGGATTTATGTATCAGATGTTCTAACCATTGGATATATAAAGGTAGCTTCAAGCTCAGCAGTGTAACCAAGTGAAGAGCAGTGCATTTGTCTTATCAATATTATTTTTTGCATTTTATTTAACAGAGAGATTTTTAGACAAGTTGTAAGAGTCTTTTTGTGGTGGAACTTTGGACTCACCCACTTTTGCAAGGTTGGTTAGAGTCAATATGACCATCAATCGGACTGTTGTATCCTGAGAGAGATAGGCCAATATGAGATGTTTTGTTGCACCAGTGAGAGGGTTTGCCAGCTGTGAAATGGCTTGAATCTCCTTAAAGAGAACCATATTACTGTGCCTCAGTTTGCACTTGTGTGTGTCCATTTATTTGGACATGTGATGTAGCCTCTATCATTCTAGTGATATTGGATATTATGTAAACACAAGATTTAATATAGTGGATGAGAGAAATGATCCATAGACGTAGGCAAATTTTGCCAAACCACTAAAACTTTGGTGTCTTTACACGATGATGATTCTTGCCCAATATTTATTTTTGACTCCATTATTTATTTTTTTATTTTTTTTGTTATAACACCAACATAAAACATTGTTCATTTCTAATGCATTGGCAATTTGGTACTTAATATTATTGACTTCTGAGTAATTTTTGTTGAGGAATATATAATATTTCTTCAGTCAATAAAGATGTACAGTGTGGAAGTAGCATTATGTTACATTTATCCCTTTTTTTCTTTTGCTAATTGAAATGATTTTTTAATATACATCATCACTACTCGTGATTTTTCACTGTTTTATCAAAAGTAGAATTTGACCATTCCAAATCCCATCCATAAGGCCCTCACACCGATCCTACGTACAATCACAATTTGTTTATCAAATTTCTATACATCATCATTACTCATGCTTTTTCCACTTTGTGTTTTATCAAAAGTATAATTTGACCATTTCTGATCCCATCCACAAGGCCACCGTCACATTAACCCTACTCTCTCTCTCTCTCTCTCTCTAGTTATTAAAGCTAACAAAGGATATAAAAAGAAAGGAAGATATCATGAACTTAAACATCAGATACCTTTGTTGGAACGTAGTTTACATCAGACAATCTTCGCAAATTTTCCATGAAATAATGTGCACAGTCTGGAACTTGGAGTTCATTACCACGAGAGTAGGTTTCCTACATGTAATAAATACAACTAGAAATTGGAGGATGCATCATCTATAGGAGTCAAAATTCTTGAAGCAAAAACAGCAGTTAAAAAATAAATCACCAAAAAACTGAATTCAATCAACAGGAATATATAGGACCAATGGAGTAGTAGTCAACCAAGCCATTCACATGAAGCAGAACATACCTGAATGGCAGCATCTTTCCAAAGAGCTTCCATCTCCTGTGCAAGCTCTTTTGTCAGGCATGGATAATCCAACCTACCTCCAATTTCAGATAGTTTCTCTCCAATCCCCTGACACAGAATGAAATATTCATTACAAACCAAAAAGTGAATCATCTGTTGACTTTAGCCAATGTGAAAAGAATAGTTTTACAATAATCACTGGTTTTTTTTTTTTTTTTTTTTTTTTTTGGGGGGGGGGGGGGGGGGGGGGGGAGAAATGTTCGCCACCAAAGTGGATCCTATGTTAAAACAAACAAGATGGGAAGAACAAAAAAAGTTTAAATGTAATCAATTAGACAACAAAATGAAGAAATCAAACCTCATTTTCAATAGATACAACATACTTCAAGGAATCAGTTTCATTTTGAGCAAATTCCTTTGACCCATCATACAATATCTGTCCAAGCATGTTCAATCCTCATCAAATACAGTCATTACAATCTCAATTCCATTCTAATAATGAATGGATCACAACTCATGTCATGACAAAGAACAAGAATCTTCTTAAGCAACTCAGCTGAGACTATCGCTTTTGTATTTTGTTAAAAGGGAAATAACCAACACACCCTTTCAAGTATTGCGTACTTTTATTGTCTGATACACATTGGCATGAATGACTGAGATGTAGCTCTTTAACTCTGCCTCGTCAAATCCAGTTTGAAACAATAATTTTATCTGCACAACAATCATGCACTCTATCCATAAATATGGTTTCTTTAAATGAAATAAAAAAATTTTAAAAAAAAATAAGTAAAACTTAATGTTTCAGAAAACAGACTAATTTCAAGTCTTGCCTGCTTAAAAATCGTCGACTTCCCCGACTCTCCAGCACCTTAGCAACCAAAGAGTTATTGAAAGCAATATGAGAGCAACCCAAATGAGGATGGAGCATGGTGTTTTAAAAATGATAAAGACATGTAAGCATGTAAAAAAAAGAAAGAGAAGAGAAGCTAGGGACAAGAATTGCACATCAACGTATTGGCATAAAATAACTAAACCAAAATTGTTAGTCTTTGTTGTGCAAACAAGAAAAGTGGCACGTGAGAACACCGCTTCAATTTAGAAGCTGGTCACTTTAAGCCTACAAAAAGACAACAATTAGATCTGCATCCCATCAAACCCACAACCCCCCACCCACACAATGCAAAAGTTGATAAACGAAGGAAGATATAAAGCACTAAACAACAACAGTAAAGGATGATAATCACCCATGATAAGTCTGCATTGAAATCATACTAACACTTCTGTAGAGGAGCCATGCACAACTTGGAGACGTGGAACACTGATACTTCTTAGACACTCCCAGACATGCATGACACTTCATGCATGTGTTCATTATCTAAAAATCAATTTCATAATTTGGACACTTCAACAACACTTCTAAGATGTTCGGTCAACAGTCGACAGGAGGAGTGTCCATTGTCCACCCTTGAAAATAGGATAAATACAACCAAAGTATCTAACCTTTCTAATTATTGGGGAAAAAATAGGGTTTACTTTGCACATTGATGACGCCCAATCATGAAAGAGATTTCATAGAGAGAGAGAGAGAGAGTCCTGGATTGGGATACAAGTGCTCTCAAGCTCTAAAATATTCAATATCAAAATATCATAAACTGAATAATATAGAGGCCTACCACCTATTTATAGGATAAAAAACTCAACTAACTCTGACAAACTCTTATGGTGCTAAAATACAACAACCATACTAATTCTAACCACATCACATATGGCCAACATAATTCCTACATGCATCAATCAAATTTTATTATAGGAAGGGATGTAATCCTGAAGGACACAATATACATTTAGCTTATAATATATAAACATATCTACATATTTTTGTTTCCTTCATTTTCCCTCATCCTACTTTCTAAAATATGCCATGTCAATGTCTCCATGTGGTCTCATGTTCATGTTCAACGCATGCATCTCTGATACCTACATCAGCATTCAGCAACTACCCACCGAACCCCATTCTTGACTAATTGAGGCATCAAAGGAAATCTATTTTTGGCAAGCTCGTAAACTAGCACTACAAACAAATATTAACTTTCTATTGCCTCTATCCTTCAAAAGCACAAAAAAAAACCTTACACTGTATTTGGTTGAGGGATCCCTTACCCTTTTCAAATCTCTCCCCAAATACCCCAACCAAACATAGCGTTAATAGCACATAGAAATGACAGCCCCAACGCATAAAAGACAAGTTTTTCATAAGCATTTCACCGACCAAGGAATGTGATGAGGCAGGGCAATTCATGTCTTAAATACCATTATAAAAAATATACATAAAAAAAATTAAAAAAAAAAAAGTGGAAAACAGTCTCCAGAAGAATTGTTAATTGATCAAATAGTCAAGATAGAGACAAAAAATAAAGGATCAAATTACAAAACTAAAAAAAAGGAGAAAATTCAACTGCCATTCAAAAATTGACCATGCCTTTCTTAATGAATGCAGAAGTTTAATAAGAATCAGGCAATGTTGTAGCTAAATGGTAATCCATAATCTACACATTAATGAGGACAACAAAACAGATTAATAGGAACTCACTCCTAAACCAATATATTTCCACTTAATAAAAATAAACATAAACATAAACGAGAAAAAATATCTATAAAAAAAAAAAAAAAAATTACAAAAGTGGAATATAATAATAATGATAATAATAAAAAAAAAAACATAAACATAAACGAGAAAAAATATCTATAAAAAAATAAAAAAATAAAAAAATTACAAAAGTGGAATATAATAATAATGATAATAATAAGAAAATGGTATGAGTTTTAAGTGTACCAAGCAATAGAAGTTTCTGAATATGGTTCTCAGCCTTTGTTTCTCGCTCAATCCGCCTTTCTATTTCTTCAGTCTGAAAATAAATGAGAAAGTTGAGAAGCAGATGAACGATCCGATACAGAAAATTAGCAAAAGTTAAATTCCAAAAACACAAAACAAACACAGATTTTATATGTTAAATTTTTATTTTTATTTTTATTTTTATTTTTGGGTACCTGAGCATTTTCTTCAGTATCAGCTTGATTGTAATGATTGTGTCTACTACAGAGTAAGCCCATAGCTCCTATTACTGTACTCTACGCTTGTGAAGAAGAAGAAGAAGGATCTGTCATTTGAGAGATAATTGAGAATCTTGAATAGAGTGATAGCTTGCTTTCTGTATTTATCTGCGCATTGAAATTTTTTGCAATTTCATAGCAACCTGCAAAAGAGTCAACCAGTAGATAGGAATGTTGATCTAGAGCTCCCTCTAAAGAAGAGGGGCAAAGAGGCCTTAGGGCAGATCTGGGTTCAGTTTCTCGGCCGGGTTGCCTGTGTGGGTATGGGTTCACTTCTTTTAAAGGAAGATGGGCGGGCTCTACTTTTATTCGGGTTGGGCCCTAGCTAAAAGGGTGAGTTGGGCCCTTTTTTTCATTTTTTTTTTTTTTGATAATTATAAAAAATCAGAATTTGAACGTTCTAACAAAATAAACTCTGATTTTTAATTTTATCAATTTAAATTTTAATATTTTGATTTGTTTTCTAGCTAAGCCATTCATCTGTTTTTATTAAGTAAAACCGACAAAAAAAACAATGTCTTTTGTTTGAATTTTCTGGAATTATTTTTTTAAAAACTGAGTTTTTTGTTTTTCGTATTTTTTTTATTTTCAGTGAATATTTTTAAATTTTTAAACATTTTTTTAGTTTTTTAGATGTACCTTACTTAGATGTATCTAAAAAATAAAAAATTTGTTAAAAAATATTTTAAAAAGTTAATAAATACATAAAAATACAAAAAATGTATTGAATTCTCGTATTTTTTTTGTATTTTTGGTATTTAGTGAATTTTTAAAAGGTTTTTTTTCACAAATTTTTTACTTTTTAAGTATATTTATGTTAGGTATATCTAAAAATTAAAAAAATTGCTTAAACTATTAAAAAAAATCATAAAAAATAAAAAAACACAAAAAATAAGAAAGTAGAATTTTCTGAAAACTGTTTTCAGAAAAACGAAACCAAACAAGCTTTAGTTATTAAACTCAATATGAATGTATATAAAATGTCTAAAATTTCATTTTTCATTGATTTTAATGACTAAAATATTAATTTTTCTATTAATTTTACTTAACAAAAATAAACAAATAGTTTAGATTAAAAACAAATCAAAAATGTTTAAATTATTAAAATTAAAAATTAAAATTTTATTTTGTTACCAGAGTTAAACCCGAGTTTTTTTTTAGGGGGATTAGGGGGCCAAAAATTAGGGGGATGTAGCAAGGTCCTTTCCCCCCCGGAAAATGATTTGTCCCCCTAAAAAAGTCCCCCTTAATCCTCCTAATTTCCAAAACGACGTCGTTTTGGGCAAATTTTTTTTTTTTTTTTTCTGTTTGAACCTTTTTTGACCGGTTTGAACCTAGTTATTTCAAAGGGAACCGGTTGGTTGACCGGTGTACCACTTTCAACGGTCAGTAACAGTGATTTAGTAAAATCTGTGTCTTGGTCCCAGTTTGATGTTTTGTTTGTTTTTTTTTTGCCTTGGTTTGAAATTTAGGGGGATTAGGGGGCCAAAAATTAGGGGATGTAGTAAGGTCATTTCCCCCCGGAAAATGATTTGTCTCCCTAAAAAAGTCTCCCCTAATCTCCTAATTTACAACGTCGTTTTGGGCAAATTTATTTATTTATTTTTTTTTTTTTTTGGGCAATTTTTTTTTTTTTTTTTGCCTTGGTTTGAAATTTAGAGGGATTAGGGGACCAAAAATTAGGGGATGTACCAAGGTGTTTCCCCCTCCCTTTTCCTTTTTTTGTCTAGGTTATGGGTTGTAGAGATTGGATTAAGTTAGGTTGAATGTACAGATGGGTCGAGTTTTGGTTTGTTTATTGGTTGGGTAAGATCAAAACAGATGAATGCGCTCGTTAAATTTCGTGTTCTCTCATGATGGTCTGTTCACGAGCTGTAGGTGTAACGCGACCACAATGAAAGGGAATTGGTCAACCAGCACTAACGATTGAAGATGGAGGTGATTGGTTGGAGAAGATGTGATAGTGTCGGGTCGCAACATTGGTCAATGACGATACAAGGATTGGTTCGTAGAGGCACTAACGTCGCAACGGCTATATACGAAGGTTGGAGTGGGTATTAGTTACAACATATAGTGGGCCTTCACAGTGCAATGGCAGAGATTCTTCGAACAATCAAAGTATGGATCTAATATCACTCTAATATGGAACAGGGTAGGGAATGAAAGAGGATTACACACAAGCGATCACAACTTAGTTCTTACAATATATAAATAATATAAATTAAACCCAATATGTATCTATAACCTATATAAAAAGTGCAGAAATTGCATTCTAACGCATCCTAACGCTGATGTTCATGGTCTGTTCTCAGAGCTTCTCATCCATGAGTGAAAAATGTTCTTGAAGCAACTATGGGATCCCTTTTTCCGATAGCTAGGGACCCGGCCACTCCTTCAACGTCTCAGGTGAACAAGGTGCAATGCGAGATAGAGATGAATGGTCTATACTTAGTATATCTGATGAAAATTCACTAATCATACAAAAGTGCTATATATATATATCAAATATGAGATATGGAGTCACCACATAATCTTTTGGGAAGACTAGGAAACTCTTACTCGTACCCGAAGGCTATGATCATTCATCACCAAAGTGTCTCAGCTCAAGAGTCTAGGTATGAAGAGGAAAGGTCATTTCTATAGCATCCCTACTCACCCAATCAAATATCAACCTCTACTAATTCTTAATATGAGATTCATTATGTAATGCCCCAAATTATTTAACATATGATAATCAAAATTAACCCATCGTTATTACTCAAATCCCCTTAATCATAACCATTAGGTAATAACAATATATAGTATCATCATCTATCACGTACCCTCAAAACTCTATATTTGTATTCATAAATGACTTAAAGATTTGCAAAAGATATATCACATATAATTAATGCATTCACTATTTCCAGAACATGAAACTAGAGCATGTGATGAGAGAGAGTAAGAAACCAAAACATAAATAATGCCCTTTAAATTACAAGTTTCAAGGCGTAAGCTCAGTTACAGATAAATGGTTAACTTAACTAGTAGTGGGCAACAATTTATCTAACCCGCACAACTCACCCAAACCGATCCTACCTACGCAAATTCAACCCTACCCTCACGCATAAATAGGGCAGGTGTGAGTCTATTTTTACATACAAAATCGGGTTCGGGTTAGATCCGACCCTGTTTGCACAAATCCGCATTTGTCCCCAAATTATATTTGAAGTAAATAAAAAAAACCCCACTCTCTCGGATTGAACAAAAAAAATCCTCTCTCTTTATCCAGTTATTTATCTCTCTCCCTCTCTCTCATCTCGCCTTGTCTTTCTTTATCTCTCTTATCTCACCTACCTCTCTCTTCTCTCCTCCCTATTGTCGTCACCACCACCATCTCTTGCCCTCTTGCTCACTATCTCTTTCCTCTCCTTCCCGCTGCCATCTCTCTTCTCTCATCTACCGTTACTGTCGTCTCTAGCAAATCAGCCCCTGCTTCATTGCCGCTACATCACCTCTCGCACATCAACCCAGGTATGTCGTTGGCTGCTCACTGTTGTCCCCTCCTCTTCTCCCTATCACCATCACCCAATCGCAAAGATCTGGAAGATGTAGAAACTACAAAAAATAAATAAAAAATATTGTTTCATTGCACAAAGTATGAGTCCCAAAACTAGAATCCCCCATCTTCATTTATTTATGGTTAGCTGATTGTGGGTTTACAGACTTGTTCCTACTCTTTGCTTTGTTTATTTAATAAAAAAAAATGTTTTCATTGTTGATGTGTTAAACTGGGTTGAATAATAATAATAATAATTATTATTATTTCTCTTGTTTTTTGTGTCTTTGTTTGTTATATATATATATACATTCGAACTATAATTTATGTTTTTTTTTTTAATGGCCCAAAAGCATATCTCAGAAATGGGGGAAGGCCCCAAAGCAAAGAATAAAATTTCAAAAAAAAAAAAATACAAAAAAGTTTAATTTACAAACCGCCCGTACAACCTCATGACCCATCCGTACAACCCGCAACTCGCATTGCGGGGGAACGCGGTTCCATTTTTTCCAAGCCCGCACCTGTAGACACCCCATTTTTTCCTCCCGCAAGACTTGGGCGCTTTGTCCTATGCACTAGATAATGAAAGTTACATTGTGTATGATTCGAATTCTCAACGGAGGAATTTAAGCTCAAGTTCTGAAACAATACCAAAACCTTCACATTTACACTATTCTTACCTCAAAGGTCCCTTTGTGAACATTATGCCACCATACATTAAGCCTTAAGCAGAGGAACAATGGAGCACATTGGGGCCTGGTCGTGTCTTATTGGGGGCCGGGCGTGGCCAGTTGGGGCCGGCCATGCCTTTTTTGGCAAAAAACACTGTTCTGAGTGGGAATCAGCTAGCTATCTATTTTTGAAGATATTTGTGACCTATTTTGCTCAAATTCTTTAAATACGAACTGATCCCACTGTGTTGAGGGTTAGAAAAATTTCAAAGAAGCAAAAACTCCTTTGAGAGCTCCTTATTCCTTTGCAAGTCAGCTTTGAAATATTATATCATCCTTGAACTATATCTATACATCATATAAACCCTTAGGCCTCGTTTGGGAACAGGCTATTTTAGTAACTTTTTGGCTTTTTACAAAAAGATGTGCAGAAAAGTAGAGAGGTGATGTGACAACTTTTAGTAACTTTTTGGCTTTTTGACTAAAATAGTCACTCCCCAAACGATCAAGTGTTAGAACTTGGGATTGAATAGCTACCAAAGGTAAAGAGGGTTAACACCCTTTCTTGCACCTTACTGCATAGCTCATCTCCTTAGTTTTATCACTATTTTTCTTGACTTTCAAACTGATTTTCAGAGTTTAAAAGGGCTGAAAAACATGGTTTAGAAGTTCCAAAAATTGAGAGGTTAGCCACATCTCCTTACTTTTGCTTACTAATCATGTGATTCCTTGTTACTTCCTATCTTTTTTTGCTCTTTCACATAAATTTTCGCCACTGTTTTTTACATATT